AATTATAAGGTTAAGTATAAGTAATATTTTAAATATAATATTTTATTGTTACATATATATGAAAGGCTATTACAGTAAAATGAGTATATTATGATAATAACTACTATTTAGTAATTTATATAAAAGATTAATAATTTTGATGAATTCTAATTTTAGAGAGATTATAATTTTATTTCATTAAAATAAATACATATGAAAGAATTTGAATATAATTATTTTTTAATGTTTTCAGTTACATTAATTATATGGCATTAATTAATTAAAATAATAGAGCGCTGTTTTATATTCTAATTTAGAAAAAATTGTCTAAATTAAAAAAAAAATTCATAATTTACTATAAAGTTAATTCAAAAAATAGAATGTTGGTCAATTAAGTTACATATTATTTTTGATTAAATAATATTAATTACATCATTTTAACTCTATTATTTAGTAAGTTATGGCTATTTAAACCTTTTGTGTTAATTTTGATCCACATTTATGTACTACATTTTTTATTATATTTGTTCATAGTTATGTCTTTTAATTTGGCCTGAAACTTTGAATTCTTGTTGTATCTCAAAAAAAGTTTTACATTTAGTTTCTGGTACCCAAATGTAACAAAAAACTGCCCCAGTAGCAGACAAAATGGCATACAAAATAAAATTGGTAGACATTCCTAAAAAATTATCTACCAATTGGTAATTAACAACCATGATAGTTGAAGCTAATGTCACTGTAAGCACCAAGGCTGTACCTCCCAGAGCTCTAGTATCTGATGGAAAGTATTCACACTGAATTACGGATAAAAGTGGCATCAGCCCTATATTAATAAAAAACACTGTACCGCAAATAGTTACTAGTAGTGTTATGCCCCCTATGTCCATATTTACAATTAAAAACAAGTATGTTGCAATGTGACAAACGGCAGTTCCTAAACAAGATACTACTAATAATGGTCGCCGACCACATCTATCAACAGTGAACGCGAATGGAATTACGGCTATTAAAGTCACGATCCCGAGTATAAAAGCACATCCGTTCGGTGACACATTAGTTAGAGATAAAATAGACGCCGCATATGCTTCTAGTACGCTGGTACCGCAAGCCATTTGTAGTACAGCCAATAATAGTACAATTACTAATGGTTTTCGATCTCTAGTCAAGAGAACTTTTATTCTTCCTCCTTGGCTAAAAAATAATATTTATGTGATTTAAAATATCTTTGAATAAATAATTCGATTTACTTATGAATTTTTTGTTAAATTAACAAAAAAATTCTAATTAAATAAAATCACATAAAAATATAATAGGAATATTAGCATAGCGAA